GAAAAAAAAAACTTGCTTCTTGGTGACTTTTTCTGTTTTGATGTTCTACCATTTTTGTTGTGAAGCAGTTCGTGATATTTATCTTGAAACATGCTATATAATAAAAAATTTGACTGTACTTTATTTAATACACAAGAACAAGCACAGTGCAGCAGATATTTTATTCATTAATTGTGAACTTAAACAGAGAGTATTACAGTAATTCAGAGACAAAATGTTAACAATACAAAGATGTTAACTTCCCGCTGTAACGGCCATAAAGGACATTTTATAGATGGACAGACATTTTGCTTTGAGTGAGAAACAGCAATAAGAATCTAAAGGCACTGACTGAACAAAGCTCAGTTTTTATTGCAGTGCAGAACTGGTGAAGAAGAGTATGTTCTTCACATGCACTATGTTAGACATGAAAAGCAGAGGGCAGTAGAGGCACATTAACTCTAACCAGTTGAAAGCAAGAAGGTTTATTATTAACTGCTCCTGTTTCATTCAAGTGAAGACGCAAAAAAGTCATGCTCGTTGTTCATTTGCTGGCGGAAGAGTTTGTTTGCCAGTTCCTTCTGTTCTGGTGTGGTCAGATACTTGTCGAGCAGCGCTTTATAGTGCTGTTCTGGGTGGCCGCACATGTTGGACATCTTCCAGGTGAAGTATGCGCTGCAGCAGTTCTCGTTGAGCTGATTGGCTAGCCACAGCCACAGCCTGGAGCAGGGAAGCAGAGCCACGGCGAAGTAAATGGGATCCTGATTCTCCATGATGTCTTTGTAATCAGACAAGTACTTTTTCATGGCAGGGGTTGGTTAATGTTTGACACACTCTGTGGATGTGACAAGTAGATTTAATTATTGACACAGGTTAAATATAAATTGTAGCAATGACTTCAAAACAGTAACATTCCAGTTAAATAGAGAAATGTTAAAGGAGGTTGCTGAAGGTTTCTTACATTGAGGTTAAATTCCTTTAACGTGCTTTCAGCATACGTCTTGTAGCTTTCACACCTATCCTCCATGAAATCGTGGAGGTCCTCGGGGACCTCGACTTCGTTTCTCATCTCATCCAACATGTCTGTGACCACCACCAGATAGTTGATGTCTTGGATTATGAATTTGACATAGTTGTCTGCCTGCAGGTCTCCAAGCTGCATGTGCTGTAGAAACGGTGTATGCAGCGTGTGCTCAGCAACGTCCTGGTTACTGACCCACAGGTATTCATAGACATCAATGTTATTAACTGTGGGGGAGAATTTTAAACAGAATTAACCGAAATTCACATTTGCAACTACGTTACAACACATTTATAACCGAAACAGCCACTTCATGTTTTGACAGTTATTTTCTTTTTGTCTGTTTTGAGGGTTTTTGCAGTTTTTCAGTGAGCAGATTGAAATATAAAGACATTTCTTACCTGATTCCATCTCAACGTATCACTCGGACGCTGCAGCACAGTCACACAGCAGGAAGCTTCATCAAAGGTTAAGAATGTCAGACTGATACTGGATTCACAGTTTTGGTGAGTGGGTGTTTCCTAAACTGTGGTGTAATTTAACACATTTTCACTTCATGTTATAACACCTTAGATGAGTCTTCTTTTCTTTTATTTCACAATGTAGTTACACAAGAGAAAGGAAAAAGTCACACTGGTTAGACCTGTTTCAGTTGTTCAGCTCCCATCCTGTCAGCATCAGCACTCTTTTACCAAAGCGTTAAGCCGAAGTTTTCGAAAAGTGTGACCTTTGTCAGAAAGCTTGACGGGTTGGCTAAGGCTACGTCCACACTAGCCCGGATAGATTTGAAAATGGCGGTTTCGTCTAAAAACGCTCTGGGTCCACACTAGCAAAGACGCAGGAGGTGAAAGGGATGGCTTCGCAGTATACTGCAAAACAAGCTCAAACCACCCACCTATCTGATAGGCAATATCCTCTTAGTACAATAAACTTAAGAGGATATTGCACCTCATACCAACTGTCAACGTGCAGGTGTTTGTGCTCATACGCTGTGTTTGGTTTTCATCAAATGCGGTGTTTTTGCATTATAGCCAAACATCACTTTGGTCTTCTGTAACAAGGAAATTGTTCCAGAAATCTTGTGTTTGTTCAGATGCAACCTAAGCGATTACCCTACCCTAACCTGTGGAGTTTGAGATGCAGCTCTTCCATGTTTTGCAGTTTCTCTGAGCATTGCACGGCCTGAGCTATGGCTGAATTTACATCTACTCCTGGCGATGTGTTAACACACACCTGAATGCTCCAGACCAGCAAACTGGCAAAACCTTTGCTTTCATGCTCGCTGATGATCAGTTATCGAATGTATTTGATTAGCAGCATCGTGCTGCTATTTGCTCTCTACTTCCCATGGAAGCAGTAAGGGTGCACTGAAGGTTTTACAGGACAGTCCTTTGTTTTTCATGACTGCAGTCACCTGATTTCCTCTTTAACCTTTGTCTACTCATGTCCTTCAAAAAGTTTACAATTTCTAAGCCAGTTTTTTTGTTCTGTGCAGCTGCGTTGCTTTTGTCATGTATTATGCATTTAACCTCTTTGTTTTCGACTCTGCTATCAGCAAACCGTATGGTGGTGATATCCTGGGTATGCCAAACCTGGTTCATAGCACAGGCCCTAGGCTAAGTTCAGACTACAGTCTGAGTGAAACAACAAACACAAAGCCGTAAATGGATGTATCAGATAGTAATCAGTTTATTTCCAACTAATACACACACAAAAAAATCACCTTGCAAAACATATTAATGACATCAAGACAAGATGGCAAAAACAATCATAAATACAAACCTGATCCAGATCTCAATATGAACACATGAAGAAAGAAAAAGCAGCTAAAAGGCTCCAGTGTGTTTGTGTGGGCATTTCTGAGAATACAGCAGGAATGTAAAAGCAGAAGAGAAACTGAAGAGCTTTGACAAACTAACAGAAAATATCTGGGATTCACCTTTGGCTCACAGCTCTAGGCTAGGGGAGCAGGACAAATCTGATTCCGTTTCTGAGTCCTCTAAGCTAAAGGCTTTAGCTTGTTACTGAGTAGACGAATAGTAAATAAAACTATGAACATGGACGTGTTCGGCTTGCATCATCAGTAACATCCCCGCGCGCTGATACTGCACCTCTGTCGTCTTCTTGACATCCAAATGTTTGAGTTGGTCTCCCAGTTTGTATGAAAACCTGAATCTCTCTACAGCAGTGCTTCTCATAGCGCAACAACAACAAAGATCACCAATAAAAAATAATGTGGGGGCCACCACCTCAGCCTCCTCCTCATAGCCTCCTATGGTACAAAGTTTTAAATCACAGGTGATTTTCAGAAAAGCCGACCAAGCCTTGTTCTCGAGTTATTGTATTTGCAAACAACAGCTCACCAGCCTTTTATGGGTGAGGGTTAAAAAGGATAGGAGATGAATTAAAAAAGGTCAGCGAGCAGCATCAGAAAACACTTTTTTCCTAAAATAAAGTTGTTTTTCATGGTCATTCATCGTTTGAGAATCACAACTTTAAAGTCTCTCTCTGCATAGACTTTGTTTGTTACATGCAAAGTCTGTGTAAAGATGCAGATTGGCAGAAGTAAGACTGGACAAAGTGAAAATGTGAATGCGTATCCACAAAACTTCTGTGAAAAATTCACTTCACACTATGTTGAAAAAGCTAATCAGCTGATCATCATCAGTGACATCACTTTCCTGATGTCACAGACAATAAGAAATGGAGGACAAGCATTTGTATTCGCAATTTACAGATAGGTGGAGCGGCAAGAATCGACTTCACTCGGAGTTTGGAGAAGAAACGTCCAGGATGTAGCGTGTTTCATAAACGTAAGAACCACTCCTGTCTCTAATAAATAAAAACTGACGTTTAGGCCTGAAACTATGTAGAAACAAATGACCTAAAACTGGGAGGATGCTAGATGTTAGGAACAATGTCAGTGAGATGGAATCCTGAGAAGTCAGGTATTACATACTACCTTATGAGGTATGACCAAAAAGGCCCGAGAACGAGTCTATAAAATAAAAACAACCCGACCATGTTTAATATGAAACAATCTCTTGGTCAATGTCATCATCTCAGACACATCCAGGTAGTGTTTAGCAGAGCAGCTATTTTTAGATGTCTTGCTGGAAGCCCTGTTCTGACCCCTTTTTCCACATTAACAGACCAGATTTGCACTTTTCAGCTTCCCACAAATTAAAAACAGTTCAGACTTATGTCGACACAGTGAAGGAGACAGAGGAAGCTTAGTACAACAGGACCTAGCAGGGCTTTCATGAAGCAATCTAAAAATAGCTGCTGCCTTGAAAATGGTCTAGAAGTGTCCGAGAAGATGACCTTACATGTAAATCAGTGACGGCTTTTTATTTTTAGGGGCTCATTCCTGGAACTTTTTGGTTACCCCACATATATGTGAATGCAGCGCTAGCCCTATGTAGCAGTCGCCCCCTTCAACCTGCAGTTTCTACTGCGAGATTCAATCACTGTAACGGAAAGGTTTATAAAAATAAGTTAAAAACATTTTAAGCCCCTTTGTTTAGCATCTCCAAGCAGCCTACAAATATCATAAATGGTTTGTTATAGACTATAAAGTAGCTGTAAGGAAATTTGAAGTGTCCTTATATTACAGCTCCAGATGTGCAGCAGCAGCAGTCTCACTGCAGCCACTTACAGATATTAGTTATTAAACACATAAATGAACTCATCCGTCCTTCAGGGGCAAAAGTCTGATTTTAGAGTGATTTCCTGTTTAAAACTGCAAACAGAAACGCCACATGTTCCCGCCTCCCACAACTGATTGCTTCATTAAAGTGAACTCTTAGTGTAGTTTGGCATCGCTGGGTGTCTGTCACCACTTGATGAAGACGAGAGCAGCGAGTGCGGCGTAGCCGATGATGAGGAAAAGCACTTTGAGCAGCCGGTCCTGTTTCTCCTCCAGCTCCCGGGTGAGGATCTCAAAGAAGGTAACAAACAGGAAGGTTCCGGCAGCGAGTCCCTGCAGCACCACGGACACTATGCTGCCCGCCAGCGTCTGAGCCGACTCGATGCCCATTCCCACCACCATGCCCAGCGGAATCATCATGCTGACTGTCACACCCAGCTTGGTGGCGTCCTTCATGCCGAGAGATGCCTTAGCTACGCTCACCCCAAGGGCGATGGCTGCCAGTGTCTCATGCACAGCCACGCCCAGAAAGAGACTGCCCAGCTTGGCCCCGTCCTCCTGCAGGCCGAGCGCCAGGCCCTCGAATGCGGAGTGTGCGGACAGAGCGAGGACCAAGCTGACCAGCCGCAGAGGCCCCGCCCCCGCCAGCTCGGCCGGGTTGAAGTGTCCGTGGTGGTGGCCGTGGGAGCGGTGACCGCCGTTGCTCGGTGAGCCCCGTGCTGAGGAGATAAAAGGGGTATCATACTCAGAGTCGCTGCCGGCCTCGGAGCCGCCGGCGTTGAAAGTCTCGAGGTCGATGAAGGATGGCTTCTCCTTCCTGAAGGTGAGGACAGCCTGCTCTATAAAGACGGTGAGGAAGAAGCCGAGCATCATCATTGTTTCAGCCAGAGGATAATCGCTGCTGATCTTCAGCTGCTGGAACACATCGACCACCTGAAGGCGCAAAACGAAAACCACAACAATAAGCAGAAAAAACTTCATCGTTATCTTAGTATTCTGAAACAGGACATCCTGAGGGAGCAGTTGCTATGAAATACCAACGACAACACAAACCATCAGAGCAAAGTCTTTGCGCTGGTGAGAACATAAGTTACAAAATGAACTTTGTGTTTTGTTTAATCAGACTAAGACTTGAAAGTAGAGACTGAGCCCATGAACTCATCTGGGAAGTTTGGCTTCACTTTTAAGAATGCAAAGTATGTGTGCAAGGTGAGAGGATGTGTGTTTACCTTATCTCTGACAGTAGGAAGCAGAGCATTGAAGCATGTTGCGAGGAACACGCCCCCTCCAAATGAATTGCACAGAGACAATGGCCTCCTGTATCTCTGTGCTCTATCACAGTCAACGAGCAGGAGACGTACTGGGACCAGCACACCAGCCAGCATAAGGCCGAACAAGCCCAGCAGGCCAAGCAGCTTGGCCACCAGGATCTGCATCCTGATGCTTCAGAGACACTAGAGCGAACGGAGCGGTGAACACAAAGTCATCTCCTGTCTGCTGCTTCTGATGGGCTTTACTGGAGCTGCTGGGACATCTCTGCTGGTTTTAGTGGAGGAGACACAGGCAGATGTTGGTCTAAACACAAGAAATAAACACATGTTGCACTGGTCTGTGCTGGAAAAATGCATCTAAAGATTCTGACGAACGAATATCCCCCATATATATTCACATCTTTCTTATACCTTAATTGTGGTGTTCATCTTTCTTTCTTTAGTTCAATGAGTCAGTTTAGTATCAGGACATTCATGTAACATTAAGTCAGCTAAACAGAGACGAATTAAACATGTTACTAACAGCAAACTATTAGAAAATAACTTCTCATCTTTAGGTTTGGATTTTCTTTTAAAAAGCAATACAGAAGTTTGACATTTTATAGAGGAAGGTCAGAGGTCAAAGCCAGAGCCCCTGAGCAAGATGAAGTTACAGGTTAACCGGCGTTGAATTCAGTAAATGTTCTCATTTCCATCATTATTTTCCATGGCACCTGGTTTCACTCTGACCAGCTTTTAGCCAGAGACTTCCTGTTTCAATGATCAGAGATGAGCTCTGCAGTTGTTCTTTGTACCGCTCCCTTACAAAGAAACCATGAAATAAACAAAATGTCAGCAGGTCCAATCTTGTCATTATTAGTACAACATTAAATCCACCATTTCAAAGCATTTTAAATAAGTTATGCATCATTTATAGAACAATGCTAATTTTTCTGTTCAGGTGTTCAGACAAAGTCAGCCACATGTTCTAGCGGAGTACATTCATTAGAATGATTAGAATTTAAATAAATGCTCCTGTTCACGTGTATTAATACTACTTTACTATTATATTGTTATGACATGAGGTTCAGTTAGATTTGCACAAAAACAGAAAAGTCCTTCAAAGACCTGCTTTTTAATTTCACAGCTTAAATACATTCAGAGCCGTATTTTTCACTTTTGAGTAAACAAACTACCAGTTTAAAAAAATCTGTAAGTATCTGTACTTCTAAATGAGTGAAGAATGTATGTAATTATACCATATATATTATGGGGAACATATAAAAATATAGAGTTTATGCATTACCACCACCTGGAAGTCGATATTTTTGCACATTAATATAATTTTAACTCTTATATCAAATCTTATATTAACTTTCGAACACTTTATGTACACCACAACTTACACTACCATTAAACTAATCAGAAGTATAGTACAGTGAAAATAAAACTGAAATTTAATTTACTTGAGAGTTTCTTTGTAATGGAGCAACACAAAAAACAGCTGCAGAGGTCATCTCCTATGTACTGAACATGGAACAGGAAGTCTCTGGCTAAAATCTGGTTGGATGAATCCAGGTGCAGATGTATCACAGCTTAATCTGGTTGGTTTGTTAGAGTCTGCATTGTTCTTTTGTGAGACAATGCCAACAGTTAAATGCCTTTTTGGTGCCTTTGGAGTTTATTTCCTGGTTTGTCATTATTTCCTCCTAAAACATCAGGTGTATGATACACCCGTTTTATCCTCACCAGTTAATCTGGATCACCAGCGCTGTGCCAAAAACGTGACTGTCACAAAAGTATTGCTGACATGTCTACACGTTTTCTATGTTTAATGCTGTATTATTGCTTATTTTGGTATACAGGCTGACATCAACAGGATTTACAAAGGGGATATATGTATAACAAAGAAATAACCTGTTTTGAAAGACTGTAATATTGTACCTACTTTGTATTCTACATTAATTTTAATTCAGCCCTATTTGGGTTCCTAAAATCCTCCCATAGAACTGCTTTGTTACATTTGTCGCCATTCCTGCTGCACTCTTGGCCACATGTTTTACTTTTTAATCTCAATCTCAATGAGAATTATCACCTGAGTTGTCGCCTTAACACCAAATAGCAAATATGAAACAGTGGCATTGCAGGTCACCTAAAGCAACACCTGAGTTTAGACACCACTCGTGCTATTAATACATTAACTATTATCAAATATCGAATTTACAAACTTAAATATAGCGTTTCGGAAAAACTGTTACTGAGGGGAAAAATGATCTGAATGTTAGGTCATTTGTATTGTCATATGTAACCAGAAGGTGGATTTTCATTAGTTTGTGGCAGCCATTAAAACGCGTTGTTGTCGCCTTTGACACAGTTACTACCTTTAGTCAGAACACAAACACCGCGAGCTCTCCCATTGTGGAGATTACCCCATTCACCGGTTTTCTGCCCCACTGGTTTTATCCGTTCTGTATTTGTTATATTAATATATAATATGACGCGGGAGAAAAACATGTCAAACCACCAAGCGGGAATACATGCTACTTCCGGGGGGTAATTTCATAATAAGACAACTGGGTCCTCCTTTACGTCTGACAGTCTAATCAATTTGTATTTATTATTGTATTTCAGCGTCACAACTTGTAATCACGTCTTTGGTCCCACTTCATCAAGTGTATAGAACAAAAATGAAAGTTTGCACAAGGCAAATAACCGCACTGTTTCCGTGCGAATACTGTCTAACAGCGGCTAACTTGACGCTAGCATTAGCTTTCTGTCATTTGTTCATGGGGGGCTAAAGAGGCTAACAAACCGGTGTGGCGCTCAGGTAGGGAAAGCAGTTGTTTTCCTTTGCTGTTCACGCTTAACAGCGGCTTTAGCTCCGAAACAACAAGATAAACCGCAAATATCACCCAAACACCGTGTTTACCTGTTAGAACATCCGCTCTCATCTACTGCAGGTGCACAATAATACTTCCGCGTCAGTGTTGCCAACTCCTCAGTAAGGAAAATCGCTATTGGCTGTCCTAAAAGTCGCTAGAAGTCGCCAAATGACGTCATCGCCTAATTTGCATAATTGGTCATGCTAATGTAATTGTAACCTACGATGTTGGAGAGAAAAATAACATCGTGGTAGAGACATAAGGTGAGTAAAAAACGTCCTAAATGCCGTTTGAATTTATTTAGAACTGCAAATTACATTTATTTTTAGCAATTATTGTTTTTTAATGTCACAATTCCAACCCTGCTCCTTTATCCAGGCCTGGACGGGCAAAAGTGAGCCGAAATTGGCACTCTGGTGGAGTTACTTTATGTGTGAGAGTGTGTGTTTATAAGTAGTTTTAAACCTTGTGATCCACAAAACAGCATAACAGTAAAAGAAGAACTGACTGCGTTACAGTCAGTGCGGGAGCAGCGGCTTCGCTCATGCGCGATTCATTTGCCGTTTGGACGCACAGGTGTTGTCTCATGATGTCACAGGTCTCCTGCCCTGATAGCAGCTGGGTGAGGACTATCCTCCGCCTGTGAGCGCTTTGGCACGGGTGAGGTGCCCAAGGTAGCACCGCTGCCTGTTGCGAGTAAGAGCGATATGCGTTTTCACGTCACGTCGTCATAAATAAGTCTCCAATAACACCAGAAAAAGTCGCCAGATTTGTCGCTAGTCGCCTTTTAGAAAAAAAGTCGCTAAGGGGGTCTGAAAACTCGCTAAATATAGCGACAAAGTCGCTAAGTTGGCAACACTGTTCCGCGTTTACACCACGCAACGCAACCCCCCCGGGCGTGATGACGTAGTCCACAAACAGGGTGACGTGCAGCGTCCTGGCGTGACAAAGGATGGAGACGCACGACCCCTGAAAGGACCAGCCGAAGGAAAATTGTTTTAGCGGATTTTTAAGTATGATTTTTTTTTCCTGTCCATACATATTTTTTTAACATATTCCGTTATATTAAAAATATTCAACGTGTAATTTCTTTAAGGTTTTCAAAAGTGCTAAGTATTGTGTCGACCATGTTGTTATTGTTTTCGATTGGTGTGAAATTAGGTTAAGAGTAGTTATTGAATAAACTGGAGAAATGGCCAAACTCTGCCATTCCTACTTCAGGTTTCCTTCTCACTATAATTTCTCCCCTCATAAATGTGTATGTTTTCCTGTAAATATATATTTCTTTCAATATTTTTTTTTAAGTCAACCCATCTTACATTTGACACTTAATTAATTAAATCATCTAGTCCAGTGTTTTACTGGACTCAGTAGACTTCTACTTTTGGAACCAGCGTTTTCTGTTTTTTCTGGCTCTTGATTTGTCTTCTTGCGACTTTTATTATTTTAAATTAAATTAAATCAACACTACAACTCGGAGCAGCTATAAGAAGAGACTTCACTGAAGAAGAGGAGCTGCATTAGTTTTGCTGGTTGTAAATAGATAACCACACTTTGGAGGAGAAGAGTAAAATGTTGAGATGGTCTTTTTATTTAAACTGTGTTCAAACAGCCTCCCTGGTGCCTCCTCAGAGCTTCGTGTGACCGAGGAGTCATTAGTTCATTTACACTAAATTAACCCTGACACTCATCCTCACACACATACACACACTCATACTCTGACACACCCATCAAAAACAACAAAAATGCATTTACAGGTACACTGTGTAGTTTCTAGAGGATAAGACTTTCCAGGTTTCTACAGTTGTTTAACATCTGGTGTCCAATATCCTATCAAAACTTCTCTGATTATTCTGCATTTGATCTAAAAACCACACAGTTGCAGGAAGTGGGTGGAGTTTTCGGTGACGTGCCTCCTGAAAGACAAGGGAGGACTCGCTTGCGCTCTCTCTCTCATGCAGGAATTAATCAGCGATGGAAAAACAGAACTTCTTTCGAGTCCTCCGAGTTATTATGATCCAGATCAGAAAGAAAAACAGGTCAGACAGTGCGTGCTCCTCCTCCTCCATAAACCCGTCCCACCTGAAATAAATAAGGAAGCAAAAATATAAACCCTGCCAAAAGGAGAATCAATAAAGTCACAGCTCCACATTACAGCATGAAATTATGAACATCTTCATGTCTTGAAGAACACATTTTTTGTACTTGAGTGTAAAAGTCTTACACGATCAATATGGTCACGCTGTATTTTCAATTATTAGTTTTTCTGTATCTATGAGGACTCACCTAAACACAGGCTATCGGGGCAGAGATGTGTATTTTAACTGAATGTTTTTACAGCTGAAGGTGAAAAATATGTAGAATCCCTTTTATCTCATAGATCAGTGTGTTATAGTGCATATGACTTTTTAAATTCCAGCTTTCAGTGTCCTCCTCCTCCTCAGTATGTTTGCTGTTACAGGCAGATATTCAAAACTTCGCTCTGAGTTCGAGGTGAAGGCACTGCTAGATTTGCCTAAACATTGTGACCAACGCTGAGGCCTCACAGGAGGCCGTCAGCTCTCCAGCAAATTTGCTCTGTATTGTGATTAGTGATCACTGACATGATAAAAAACCATTTACAGGAAATAATGACAATGATTATGGTTCAGTTTCATGTGTACAGACACAAGCTAAGTTTAAGCTACTGCTCTAAGTTTGTGCTAAGAACAAACATTAAGATTGTAAATATGCGCAGGAGTTCAGCGAATAGCAGTTATTACCAGGAACAATAGTGGATACATTAACATTACATTCAACTTTGATGTCTTTGTTGCTGTGGTTCCATTTTTATGATAGTTGCCAAAAACGCAAAGAAAGGAAAATAAATCTTACATCACACAGACTGTAATTAAATAACTTCACTGTCTGAGCTTTTCTACGTTGCATGAACTATGCAATCATGCATGACTGGTTGTGACACCATCCGGATGAAGCTCATCTCATACACTGTGGATGAAGAACAGCAGTAAGACCTGTGGTGTGTTAAACTGAATTAGTGTGTATTTACTCTATGCGAGGGTCACGGCTGCTCCTCATTCCCAGAGCTGGGTGTCTGATTGCGCATTTGACTCCTCAGCTGTTCGATGAGTTCAGGGTTCTGCTGCTGCATCTGCTGAGCGAATTGCTGCCCTCTGCAGAAGCAAACAGAAAGGCAAAATCACCTGTTATTCATTGACACCACCAGCTTTAAAATGCAGTCCCTGTGCTCAGGTACGTACGCCTGGATCAGTCTTGATAAATCTCCAGGTGCTGCAGCACTAGGGGCTGCTGGTGCAGCTCCAGGAGGCGGGGCTGCACCTCCTCCCCCTCCAGCGCCCCCACCTCCCAGTCCACCATACGCTCCAGACATCATCCCAGACATCCTGGAAGATAGGACAGGAAGTTAACTCTGAAAAACCACAGAGGAAGAATGGATTTCAGATGAAGTGAGACAGACTTACAGCTGCTGAACCTGAGGGTTGTTCATCAGAGACGAGGCCTGCAAAGAGACAAGAGTAGGATGGAAAAATTTACAGAGTAGAAACAGAAACTGTAAATACCTAAATTAAAAATAATGAGCAATGCTGATAAATTCTCAGAGTTCTCACTGCAATTTAATCACTGTTCAAATGTGTGTGTGGTTTTTCTGGTCATTTCTGAAATTCTACACTTCTTTAAAGGAGTGTCTTGTAATTAAGAGAAAATAAAAAAACATTACTATACCAATGCTATGCGTGGTTGTTGAGTCAACAGAACTCATTATGTTGCTGTGTGCATGTATCTTTTAGAAATTAGTATCCAAGTGAGTTTTACCTACCAAAACTGACAAGACACACACCAGCATTATATGTGCTGTATGGACTAATAGGCATGTTACAGTTTCTGCATCTGAAAGGTCGTTAGGTTCTGACGAGGATGCAAATTTGGCCATCATACAGATTTGTGATTTACTATTGAAAATAACCAAATAGCAATAGCATGTGAATGCTATCAAAACCAGATTTTTTCTAGCATTTACAGGAGCAAGCAAGATAAGGTTAGCCACCTACACCGCACCGACATGTTTACTGTCAGTTAGGAAAGTTAGCCGATAACGTATTTTGCCAAAATCAGGAGACCTCATTGACTCAAAGAACTATATTGCATGAAACAGGATTCGATTTTGTGTCAGCAGAAAGACAAACAAAGAGCTCAGGTTGGAGTTTGTGTGGCTTCCATGAACTGAGCTTGGCTTCACTGCCCAAAACTGGCTTTCTTTCTGCTAAAGTAAGCCACCCTGATAATGTGGTACCCAATGCAGCATGTTGCTGGCTAACCTTCACTTGCTTGTTTATTATCAAAATAATGTCTGAAGTCACATGACTTTGTGCTTTTGTATATTAGAGGCAAACTCTTAGAATGTGGTCTCATCATTTGTACGATGGTTCGATGCAACAGAAAAGGTGATTTAAAGGAAACCGAAACAAGAAAATTAGCTGTGAGCTCTGACGAGTGCAACTGGTTCTGATGGCTGCCAAAACTCCGTGACCGCTTAGAAATGTTACAGGCCAAACACTCAGATCTCACCATGTTCATGAAGCCGGGGTTACTCAGCAAACCAGCTAGATCGACTCCGCCCAGCCCTGCAGTCTGAGAGAACAGAGACAGGTTCACGTAAACACAGTGCTGTCGGGAAGTCGGAAATTTGATCCCTCATCCCGCCTCTTCTCACCGGACTGGACGTGTCCATCTTCTCCTCTGCGATCTTCAGATTGGTTTTGTAGGTGTCGTTATCTGGGTCGAGCTCCAAAGCCTTCTTATAGTAACTGACTGCTTCTGTGTGTTTGTTGAGGCTGGCCAGAGCCAAACTGAAACACAAGACGACAAGTCAGGGCCAGAGACAGCTGAAAACAGAACGCAAGGAGCTTCCAGCTTTTCATTCTTCATGCTCTAATGCTGCATGTTTGTCTACTTAAACAACTGCAAACTCCTGCATAACTGGTTAAAAATAAATAAATAAATAATGTAAAAACTTTGTGGAAATAACTTTGTGCTGGCTGACTTTGGTTTTACGGCTGCAGTCAGCACTGACCTTCAGTTTCAGTAAATCTGCCACTTGTGTTTAATAACTGACAGTTTTCTTCC